GAAAGCTTTTTTGGCGATCTTGTTTAGGCAGTAAGCTTAACATTTAGCTTACCTTGGGGGTTCCCCACATCCATTCGATAAACTGTTGTCGTTTTGTCTTCATCATCAAAGGCCTTTGGAGATTACATATCTGAGAACCCAGTTTTACCATATCTGACCGTTGTAAAAATTGTGCTTCAGATTGATATTAGGCAATGTTCACTGTTGCAGTAAGGGTCATATTCCTCATCGCAAGTATGTCCCATGTTTTGTATTGTCCTCCAGTGCGTCTGCAGGCGATGGACGAGTTCCCAAGGAAGAAATGTTTTGAATTATATTTCCGTTCTCTTTTTTGGCGTTTTATCAAGTCATACAAGGCGTGGTCTGTAATAATTCGACTGACATTTGGTCGTTAGCACCTGCTCGTTCGGGGCTCAGTATCCTACACTGAGGATAGAGTGCAGACAGCGCTGTTTGAAGCTATCTGGATGTATTTCATGAAGCTTCATTGACAGCACTGATGTTTTCAGACTGTATTTTGTCACCGCGAATACGGCTGCTTTCGCAACGGTGATTTTCGTATCCGTTCAAAGTTCGGTACTTCCATATGTTATATGGCTGGTCAAAATTTGCTAGCGTTGCAACAGCTAGTGTTACTTTCTTATTTGCTATTCCTTGAATACGTAACAGTCGAGTAGTACTTAATTCTGAGACATTGTTTTTAGGTGTTTTTCGGTCGTTGGCTTATCGACGGATATCCTAAAGTTCTTCTGTTCGATATCGGTTCGGCTGCGTGGCGACTGGACAACTGGAAAAAAGAGTTTTGGGATGCCTGCCACATTGGCATCCCTTGGCATGATCACGAGGCGAACGATGCTATTATATTAGGCTTTCTAGTGGTGTGGTTTCTGCAAGAGGTACAAAACAGGTTTTCAATATCCTTTCGCTACTTTGTTGATATTTACTAAATATTTTCTGATATTTACTCTGGTAATAATTATGTTAATCGTCAAAAGCAATGTAACTTTTTGAGGCATCTTTTTCTTAAAATGTACTATGTATTTATGGGCCTGAATTTGCTAACGTCCTGAAATGCATTAAAACCATCTACAGATGTACCGCTAGCACTAAAATTCCGCAGTATAATATGTTATACCTGCTTAAAACTGGCCTATTTACCAGATTGATTATTTTGATATGCGTATAAAGAAAAACTTAAACTTAACTGGGATTTAACCTTTTAACATGCTTATATTTTCATTTCTCCGTTGGCTATCTGAGTAAGGCTGGATTCTTTGATTTCTGCGGAAAAGGCATAATTCCGTGCTGCATCTGGTGTAATAAGCACTGCAACATCGACCTGCTTAAAACCTGAACTGTTTGCATAATGAATTGTAAAGATTGTCGAATGATCTACATTGTTACAAAAAGGCGCGTTGTAACCCGTCAAACGGAACACATGGCAGTTTTCGAACACATACATCAAGAATATTGTGCTGTTGTGGGGCATCCCATGGACAGCCTATACCGTAATGATAACAAGAACGTGAGGAACTTAGATCATAGCAACATCACTGATAGTCTGACGATACGCAGTATCTAAATCCACCGTCATTAAAACATTTGGTACAGCCTGTGTAAACGAGCAACTGTTTCAGAAATCTTTATTATAATTTCAGTCTCATCCTTAGTAACTTAGTTTCTACTATCTAAACAACTATTATTTATTTATTGAATTTTTTTAGCGTTTTAGTTTAGGCCTATGATTTCTTTCACTTTCTCCTTACTTACCTTTGCGTTTCTTTATTTGATGTGTGTTAATTATTTACCTACCAATATTTGCAC